TGGAGGGTTGAGAAGTTAACATCATAGACCTTTGCAGCTCGTCGCAGACTTAATTTTGGGTCTGCCTGATAGGCCTGAAGTGCAAGAAGGATTTGAGCCTCTTTATTAGATTGAGACATATTATTTGGTTGAGAATCAATTGATTAGATGGTTAGATGTAAGGTTGAGGGATTTTTGATCGGCATGCTTGTCTGATCGGCATGCTTATCGTGTACGTTATCGGTTAAAATAAGATACTTAATTCTGCTAAAAGAATTCGTATTATAATAAGAATTATACTATTATTAAAGTTTTATTACAACCATGCTAGCATAGCATGCCGTGTTATCCGCTGCTAGGATAATAGCTTTGTTTTATTTCTGGACAAGAAACATTATCGGCACATCTCAGGAAAGTCTACCTCCCCGGAAACACACGGCACTGGAGAAGAAACGGATCAGAGACAAGCTAGGATTAAGTTATGCAGTTATCACTTAGTGGATGCCGAGACATAGGCCAAAGCCAAAGAGGTCCAAACACATTTATAAACAGCACTCATAGATCTGCACCATAAAACCCCATGCTAACCATCTGTCTTATTTCTTCTTTATTTAATTTTCACCACATTCTTCTGCAGATCTTTACATAGCTTTGAGCTACTACGACTATCTATACACAAAAGCAATATGTTCCTCAAAGGCGTATTAGTCGCGATGTTTGCAGCCTGGACTATCTCTGTAGCTGCAAACCCAGTTGCAGACCCCCAGCCCAACGATGCCCGCCTCCCTGATGTTCGCCTCTCGCCTCTAGAGGTTCAAGCTATGAAGGAAGCTCAAAAGCATTCTCCAGGCTACATTCACAGGATGGTGACACTTGGAACCGGCGAGAACGCCAAAGAGGTTCCCATCGTTGAAGCCGATCCCGATATGCTTCTAGATGGTGAGAAGGGTATGAGAGCACGCTCTTTAGCACCGCGAGGAACTTGCTTCAGCTTCCCTGCGACATCATCAGGTTGCATGATCGACTACTGCTGGAAAGATAATCACGGGAATACATGGTCGAGATTTGTCACCGTCAGGGGCAGTAATGGGCAGTCTAATCCTAGATCTGTGACAAGCAGTGACACGAACAAACTTTCTTTCAACACCCAATTCAACGACGGTTATGGTGGCTGGTTTCCGGAAGGTCATGAATGCTCTAATTCGGACACGCAGATTTATACCAATCACTTCTTGTATGAAGGCGGCGTAGGTACGGCCTATGTCAATCGTTTCCGGTGCGACAACTGCAACTTCGGATTCCTTCGCTGCCTTTCGGATAACCTCAAAAACAACTTGATCGCTTATGCCAACGGCGGGGGTCAGTCACAGGCATATTGTACTTGAATGAGAGATATCACCGTCAAGTTATAGTGCTTAAGAGCTACGATGAGAAACCGATTTGCGACAACACATACCGGCTGACGACTGGCTTAACACGCGCCAGCTAGATGTATTTAGTTACTTTCAAATTCCCTCTACTGAGGGCCTTTTTAACTACACAATTAAGTCATTTGTATCGCTTCCTAGAAATTTGAGTTCATTGTCGCCAGTCTATAGACCTAAAGCCACACTGAACCGGAAGGGCAGCAAGGAAAGACGCGGTGTCCGTCAGCTCCTGGCTATATTTAATTTCCCAACACCACATCTAAACGCACTTTAGATACCATCGCTACCTCTCGATTAAAACAACATCTGTTCTCCATTAGGTTTACTTTCGTTTGCACTACTGGACAAGTTGCAACACTCGACCATATCTCCTACAGAGCAACAAAATGGAAGCCAGGTGTCTATGTGTCTAATATTACAACTACATAATTATGTAAATCACGACAGATAGCGATATTCCATGTTTGTTTATTAGGACCCGAACCTCATAAGATATAACCCAATGTGGCACAAGTTTAGCCTAACACGATCAGCAGAGAACTTGCTGTAGAACAATCAGGCACTACAGCTATGTGATTCTTAGCTTTTCATAATCATTATTTCAAATAGAGGAAGAAATACCCAGTGACAGATACATGCTACTAGGAGTTTACTTCGCCTATATGTATATGTATGGCTACTTAGAAGATCTAACAACAGCTAATCCTTTAGTAAAACTTGCAAGGTCACGGAATATGAAATTTCCTTTTATGTTTCACCCATTAAGCCAGAAGAGTGAAGATTGTCTTAGGATCTAAATAAAGCTCTAACTCCCGCTTATTCCTAGACCAATCCGGGTGCTGCGAACCACCCAGATGCAATGGTCTCCAGTCGCCAGTAACAACCGCTGCACCCACTACCTGTAATGTCCATCGATGCCCGTTGATATCCTTGCACGATGACGACTCTTCGTGGCCACAGCAGCCAACAAACGAGGTCTCCAACTCGCACATCACTGGACGAAAGCCCGAATTTCATGGGGGCCTCGTCTCGACACGATATTTGAAACAGACGTGAGTTTTTGGCAGAAGGGCCTTCGACCTGCGACTTGTCGTTCTTTGACGCGCTATCGTTTCCTGTCTGTAAATCCTTTATCCAGTCTCCATTTAATCCCAAATGGGTGCATTTGGTTCCTAAAAAGGCGTCATGTGCAGACCATTATGTAATGCTTTTATAGTTAAAGCATTTCTTAGACAACCTAATATCATCAAGTACCCCCTGTCCCCAGGGGACCCCCTACATTGATCTGCACTACGACGGATTGGATCAATATATATCCGCATAGCTCAACATGTAGTTTGCAACCAACATACATAAAGTGGTCTGTAGGAGGCCTACCAACATGGCTTCCCCGCTCTCTGCCTGATTGCATTTGAAAGAAACACTCTTTTCCCTGTCAATCACTATCTTAAGTAGAAAGAACCTAGCTTTACGAAAAAGATTCCTCAGCGGTTAGCTATCCCAACATGTCTACAATTCCCGAACCGGATTTATTGCTTCAAGCCGTTTTCCATCATGTAGTTCTTCCTTCCAAGTTGCCTAGTAGGAACGACGCGGATAAGCTTGGGCTGGCATATGATCTGGGAAGTCGACTTCAGCGCGCCTTGGCCAAGTTCAGTGATAACCAAGACCAGGACGTTTGGAACGTCTTGCTTAGCTCCATGAAAGCTACAACAGTTCTCAATCAGGGCCAGCTGATCAGCCAGGAACTACTGGAAATGTTTCAAAGCATCGCTAGTGGGAAGAATAAGATCTGGCTCACTCTTTTCGTCACTCAACAGAATTCTGCCTTGCTAATTCATCGCAATGATATGTCTGTTTCTAAAAGCCTTTCGAGGTGGTGAAGACATGCTGGCTGACCCCTGCAATAGTGAAGAAACAGTAGTTTTCGAAGCATTCCAGACTGCAGCACCAGTCAAAGATGTTCTCGCGGCAAAACATGGTCTCATGGGGGAATTTCCTCATCATTCAGTCCGAGTCCCGTTCAACGTTTTCAACGACATGTCCTTCCTGAGTAATCTGTCTCAGCTTTTGGGACAGGCAAGCTATGGATCTTTTGATCAGTTCGCGGCGAAGGCTTCCAAGGGCGGACAATTGATTGCCGAGACCCGCGACTCCACAGACCCTGCCTTAGTGATGGAGATGCTCATGTCACTTTTGGAGGGGCTTGGAAGTGGCTTAGAAGTACAGTCGGTTCGTAAGAAAGTTCGGGATGACGTTGTATTGGGCTCATCTGAAGTTCCCTGGAGGCGCTCACCGTACTGGCTGGTTCTCCGTGTAGCATTGAGACGTATGCTACGGGAGTTGCTAGACCACAAATGCGCCGGCATGGGACGAGTCTATTACAAGTTCGTTCTTTGTACCATGTTGGCCGAGCTTCTCAAAGACTCTGTTGAACATCTGCACCCCGAGATGACGCTGCAGCTTCGATCAAAGCTCTGCCGCCGCATGGCAAAACTCAAGGCGGATAGTGCAGCATGTTCACTATCTTTGCGCCCATTGTATAATGATCTTTTCGCATCTACTTCGGGCGACTTTGGAGGCATCGTGAAGTATGCGACGGAACGGATTTCTTTGCAATGGGATGACTACAAGGCCAGAGTTGCTCGCCGCATTCCAACTCTTCCGTGCCGCGTCCCCGACGCTGATCTATACATGAGACTGGATAATAGTGGCGCCTTCTTGACATCTCAGTTATCACAAAAGCTCAGCTTTCTGTCCCGTAGGATCTCTCCGGACTTGCTTCAGTCACAAGAGGGAACAGTTCTCGAAGTTGGCCGCCTGGCCGACCGCTATATTGCCCTCGAGGAGAGTGAGAATGCGGCAGCTACGAGAACTACTGCCACCTCAGAAAAACCTCAAGAATTTTGCAACTCACTATCCAGAGGTATCATGGACCTGCTCACCAACGTGGGAGACACCTTCAACAAAGATTCGGTTCTGATGAGTCGCCACCTTCTCAGACTCTTTGAGCTTTGGACAAGCATGGACGAAGCGGCAACCTCTATATGTCCGTTACTCAAAGACTATCATCCTCTATTCATTCCCGATGCATTGGATGTACTTTGCTTGATGACCAAGGACGAGATGGTGCGGCTGTTACGAGTACAGCTGTACCTTCGCAATCGTGTGGACTCACACAAGAAAAGCCTGGGTACAATCTTTGATAAACCCACAACAAGGTCATCGTTTCCTGCCCAGTTTGTCTCTTCCACTGTGGCTGGTAGCCAGATGTTGATGACCGCTACACTGATTGATGAAGCCTCACTGAGGGCCCGAGAATCAACCCTATCCGAGCTAGAACGGCTGACAAAAAGGTACGACAGCTTGACACAGTCGCTGAACGACCTTGCCTGCACATGTACCACATCTCCTACCGGCAAAAAGATCACCAATGGTTGCCGAAGATGTCCGAAGTTTTGGCAACGAAAAAAGCTCAAGATCAGCGTCCATGAAGACTTTCTCCCATCAACCGACACTGACCAGCGAATTGCCCAACGAGCAGCTATTCTTCTAGAGCTACTTATTCCTAAGTACTTGAAAGCCTATCGTGCAGCAACTTGGCGGTTGTATCATCTGGGTACCACAGTAGCAACCAAAGGCGTTCCAAAACTGCTCCTTGACGATATTACTAATCTCAAGAAATTCTCCCAAACGGCGAATAGAACCTTCACGCTTGCTTCGCGCAAAAAGTCATTCCGGCAAACTCACTATGGCAAGTTGAAATTACCAAAAACGCCTGACCAGGTCGCTTTTCGTTTTGGAGCCGAAATTTCATACTATGATACTGTATTGGGGCTTTGGGCGGACGAACTCCCCAAGATCCCATGGTATCAGCACCTTTTAGGTCTCTGGCTTCCACAGGGCATCCCGGATCCATATGAAACGCCAAGAGGAGTCCTAGACATGCTTCTACATCATCCTTCTTCTTACGAGATCGTAGCAAGCGAATCAATGAGTCCTCGATCCATATCTGGTAACGATTTCTGTGCTTTCCAGCGAGCGGTTTCTGCACGAGGTCGACGCTGGCTCGAGGTACTGAAGGAAATGGCAGCTTCCAATTTTGACTTAAGTAGTCGAGCTACAAATTGTTTCTTCCAACGCCTTGCTATGCAGGCCGGCCCAGCTGCACTGGAACAAGGAATACTGCGTGAAGTTCAATGGGTGTTCAGCTGTGAAAGGTTCTGTGATAGACTGAAAGAGCGGCTCGAGGCTTGGATGGATACGATGGAACAGAATCGGAGACAGGTCGATCGGATGAGTACCGTTGTGATATTTAGCCTTCGGCTATATCACCTTTGCCCACAGTCATTTGCAAGACAGGCTCATGAGCTGCTGTTGAGAGTCCGTTCCGTCACCTCAAATTGGATTCTTCAATTACAGCATGACGTCAGATCAACGCCTGACGGTGATATGGCCGGTAAGTCTGCTACTTTTGCTTTCTGGGCCGCGTTGCTTTGTCGCCAAACATTCTGGGGTTGTTTAGGTCATGATGGCTTTGAAGCAACTGTGCTCAAAGACGATCCGTTACCTTTCTTCCGATCGTCAATCGCGCTTCAGGAGAACTTGCTTGATAGTTTGGATAGGCTGCCCCCTCACTTGCGAAGTCTTCTTACCCAAGACATGTCTGCTTCTTATCAGATGAGGAGTATTGTCGAGAAGTGGGTGCAGAGCGACATCGGCCTGGTAGAGAAGGCAATCGACGAGACATGGGCCAATGCCAGTGTTCTTGCTAAGAGATCTTACTCCCCTTGGAAGAAGCTCAAGGGTAAAAACTCGTGGTGGATTTCGTCTGAAACCGACCCTACTGGCTCAATCGCTCCACAGAGAGTACATTATCATGTACTTCAAGGTCACTTACTAGTGGATCAAAAGCCTCTAGGGAGGCTTCCCCTTGAGATCAGAGATGATGAATCTATGCGGGAGCTTTTTGAGGGGCGACAATTACTAACACGACCATCCGGACTCTTGGACTATCAGATCCTTACCGAAATGGAAGGACACCAAGTTCATGTTGGCATCAGGGATAGCAAAATAACCATCAAAGCTCTATTCAGAGGCTCCATTCTTCAATTCGTCCCGCGTTCCATGTTGAAAGGTCCCATGGGCTGGGACCTACCCGCAGATTTAGTCGACGATTGCGTGCACTGGCTGGACTTGACTACCGGAAATCTTGAGATGCGTCGAAAACCACGAATTTGGAGACGTAAGCTATCGAACTGGGTACTCGACACCCGAAATCGAAGAGCCACCAGAAATAGCAATAAGCCTACGAGGTCGGGAAAGTCGAGCACGGGAACCAGTCTTGTTGAGCCAAACTCGGAGATTGGGAGGAAAGTCTGTAGTATTTTTCAGGATTTTGAAGACTCCAAGAGGTTGACGATTTACCAACCTGCCAATGGAACCTTGTCCGTTGAGATGAAACGTTTAGAGATCCGCTTCCATGTCAACCAGAGAGGTTTACTGTTTTGCCCTCAGCTCAAGGCTGAAGTGGATCCTCAGCAAGATATCGGAACGCTCCACGGGTTATGCAGTCGAGTTACTCTGCGCGATATTTCAAACTCTAAAAGAAGGAGTGTTCTTATCCCAATTGGGAATATTCAATGGGAGAGACATGGAATCCATATCGCGGTCAGGATTTCCAACGAAGGAGTGTACGCTAAATATACCCTCAACTCTGTCCTAGGCCGACTTGACTGCCCACCTGAACCACTTCTTCTTTATCTGAAGGCAGCAATACATGCACTAACGTCTTTCCCACTACCGGATGACTTCACTGGGAAGACAGGAACAGAGGAAGCTCGCCATTGTCTGCTCTCGGCTCGCAGTCAGCCTTGGACTCCTTTGGCGGGCTTTCCACAGAGAATACTGTCTGTCATCAAGTCTTTATCACCGGAAAGAACTCTTTATCCCCCAGGCATCAATCTATATCAGAAAGTCCGATGGGATCAACATTTGACTTCCACAATCCAACATGAAGACTTGGCTCCTCTAGTCGCTCTGATTGAACGTCGGTCACGAGAGCTAGAGATGTTTGGTATGACACAACCTCAGCAAGACAATGTGTCATATGACGTGTCTGTGGCTCATTTGCGAATCAGAGGCCGTATTCGAAGGCAGCTTTATGAGCGTTTCTCCTTTGATTCTGATTCGATGGTTCTTTCCCAAGCGGCACAAACAGATGGTTTCATCCCTCTCCGAGACCAAAAGTCATCTGTGAAGAGCTGCCGAGTGTATCAGACCACCCGTGCGATGCTGGAATCTGATACTGGTGCATTCCGCCTTCCCAAGCTTGCTCCAACTTTGGAAAAGTGGAACACATTTCGGGGTATCAAGAAATCCTCATCAGATATCGATCTAGCGGCAACTCTAGGTGTTGGAGCGCCACAACTTTGGGGGTCCCTGGTCCAGAAGCTCTATGAAAACGGCCCGACGAGAACTTACGACAAGCACTTTTCCCTAGCTTTGTTAGCGTTCGACGACGATGTTGACATGGGTGTCATGATGTGGCTCGTGGCACTGTTCAAAAGCAGTAGATTAAGTCGCATCCGGCCGCCCAACCATTCCCTGTTCACAAACTTCCGCCATTTTGAAGAACCGTCCAAAGATGTATTTCTGTCACTAGCGCTGCCAGAATCATTCAACGACGACAAGAGCGGACCCGTGCCCAAAGATGATCCGAGGAAGGACGCAGCGTCACGAATCACCTCTCACATTCTCAAGATGTGGCCAAATCCACCTCTTTCGAGACAGGAGTTCGAATTATCAGTCAAAGGCCTAACCCGAGACATCCAGAACTTTAGCTTAAAGAAGACTTGGCAGAAGTTCTACCCCGAGCTTCGAAGATTGAAAGGCAATTGGGAGCTGTCTGTCTATCTCCTTCAGCTGGAGAGCGCAGCAGAAATGTTGGTAGGCGATCAATCGAAGGCGGATCAAAAGCTATACCAAGACCTTTGGGCTTTAAAACCAACACGTTTGAAAGGCAGGAGCCCAGAGGGACCCAGGAAATGTTTTACGGCTCAAGTCTTGATGAAAGACTTGCTATCAAGGCATAAATTCCACGATAGGTCCAATAAAGACTCTCAATCTTGGTTAGAAGAACAAGACCACTCTTCGGTTGGAAGTTACAATTCAAATTCATCCAGCCAGGCCTCAGAGTTACCTGTAGCTCAAAGAACGGAATTCAATACCCTCCAAGAGATTATACAGAGACTGATCTCTTCGCCCCTCACTTCAGAACGGGCTTATGGGGAGGACCTTCGAGTGTCACTCGCCGCTTTGGCTCTACCGCAACAGCGTCGAAAAGCACTTCATAACACACCACACATGGCTTCAGTCAAAAGAGAAATTACTCGTTGCCGCCAGCTCTTACGAGAGCAACAAGATAAGATCGAGAATTTGGTTTCGCAAGGTGACGAGGGCTTCGCGTGGCTTTCAAAAGGCCAGCTTTGGCCTTGCTTCTCACCAGTTGCAATTCTTGAACAGCTAAGAAATGGCAATAGATCGCGAGTACCTCATGCTTTGATTACCAGGATAGTGGAGTACGGGGTATTTACGGCGCGCTTTCAGCGTTACCTCCGGATAGAAGATGCAATTCTTCACAGAGATGATGGATGGTTGGAGGAGAACTTTGAGTCACAGGGACACTCCAACTGGAATCCACTCAAGTATCCAGAATGGCTTCTCCTAGAGATCGACAGCGACATGTTGATTCGACCCATCCAAGTCGAAGTAGCCCATGCTATTATTTCACCACCATCGATGTCCAATTCTGTTTTACAGATGAACATGGGCCAAGGTTCGTATATGTCACTGACATGTCACACAAAACGCGTAACTGACTATTCCTATAGGCAAAACCTCATGCATTATGCCCATGGCTGCAATCCTGTTAGCAGACACGACTAATCTGTGCCGATTGGTTGTTCCCCGAGCCCTTCTCCTCCAGACAGCACAAGTCATGCAAAGCCGACTTGGTGGGCTGGTTGGCCGAGAAGTTTGCCACATACCCTTTGCTCGACGATCACCTACCGACGGCCAAGCTCTAGAACTTTATCACAGTCTTCACAAGAGAACTCTCGCATCAGGAGGAGTCATGTTGTGCTTGCCAGAACACCTACTTTCCTTCAAGCTGAGCGGGCTCCAGAAGCTGGCCGACAAGGAAGCAAAGAAAGCGCAGAAAATGATGAACATCCAAGCATGGTTGGAGTCGTCCAGCAGAGATGTCCTCGACGAGTCTGATCTTACTCTCTCACCAAAGACGCAATTGATATATCCGAGTGGTACACCCACCATGATTGATGGCCATCCTCAACGGTGGCAGCTTATCGAAGATGTGCTATCGTTGATTGAATCCCATGTACCCCAACTTCAGGCCAATTTTAAAGATGGGATACAGGTGTGGCGACGACACCGGGGCTTTCCTGTTATTCATCTCTTGTGTGCTAGGGTTGAAGATCATCTTAACGCTCTTCTAGTAGATGATGTCTGTCATGGGCGGCTCTCATATATTCAGTTCAAAGCTGATGCAAGTCTGGATGCCAAAAGAAACGTCAGATTAGTACTATCAACTACTCAACTATCCGCATCCGTTTGGGAAAGCGCAATCGGGTCGTTAAATGATGAACCCTCTGGTAGAAAGAACCTCCATCTTCTTCATGGCCTCATTCCCCAGCGGCTGTTGATTCTCTGTCTGAAGAAGTCATGGAATGTTCAGTACGGCCTTCATCCGGACAGAGCTCCCATTGCAGTGCCATTCGAAGCTAAAGGAATACCTTCGCAAACCGCAGAGTACGGTCACCCGGATACGGCGCTTGTTCTTACATGTTTGAGCTTTTACCATGCTGGTTTGACCAAGTGTCAACTTCTCCAGAGTCTCCAATTCATTAGCAACTCTGAGGATCCCTCCTCGCACTATCAACGCTTTACGTCCTCACAACACCTTCCTGAAGACCTTGAACATTGGCATCTGTTGGAGATGGACAACGAGGCTCAGGTCACTATGCTATGGCAACATCTCAGGTTCGAGAAGCATGTGGTCAATCATTTCATGAACAACTTTGCCTTTCCAAAACACGCCAAGCAGTTTGGACTCAAGTTTCAAGCCTCGGCTTGGGACATACCCCTGCTATCCGAGAGTATGGAACGGCAAGGCATGACCACAGGCTTTAGCGGGACCAATGATAACAAAAAGATCCTGCCACGTACGATTCGTCAAGACGATCTGCCCACTCTCATACAAACCAACGCTGAAGTTTTGATACATCTGCTGGAACCGCGTAACCAAAAATGCTTTCAAGCTATTGATGGACACGGACGGCATCTGAATGAGATTGGGATACTGGAACTACTCCGAAACGACGGGATCAAGATATTGATAGACGCCGGTGCCCAGATCCTTGAGATGGAGAACCATCAACTTGCTGCGGCCTGGCTTGACGTCTATCCTGATGCCCAGGGCGCGGTATATTTCGATAACAACAGCCGTATCATGGTACGAGCTCGTTTTCAAAAGTCTCCCGTGCCGCTCTTGGCTAGTCCTTTTGCAGACAATCTCAACGAATGCGTAGTCTATATCGACGAGGCACACACGCGCGGGACTGACTTGAAGCTTCCAACATACGCCCAGGGAGCTTTGACATTGGGCATTAGTTCGACTAAAGACCAGATAGTGCAAGGTAAGTGCATAAAACTATCAGCAGACCGTATGACACTAACCATCATAGCTGCAATGAGACTGAGACAACTCGCGACAACGCAGTCCATCGCATTTGTTGCTCCCCCAGAGGTGTATACAAGTGTTTTGTCTCTTCGATCCGCCCACAGTCCAAAGGTTGCAGCCTCGCAACCATTGAAGTCTACTGACATTGTCCACTGGCTCCTAGAGCAAAGTTGTCAGGCCAGTGACAATATGATGTCCTTGCACATCGCCCAAGGGTTCGACTTTTGCAAACGTACAGATGCTCTATTGGACTTCAGAAAGTCCTCGCAGAGCAAAAAGAAGAGAGATAAGCTCCTGCAAGAAACTCAGCAGCCCGAGGGACAGACATTGGAACAACTCTACGGGCCGAAGCAAGAAGCATCGTCCACCGGCTTGAAAGTATTCAATTCTAGACATGTACAAAGCTTTGTGAAAGAACTACAAGGGTTGGAGGCGGATTTGGTCAAATACCAAAGGCGAGCGTGTTCCTCGGCTTTTGATGAGGTGGAGCAGGAAAGAGAAGTTGAGTTTGAGGTTCACCAGCTTCGTGAGAAGCAGAACCCTACACATCTTACAGCACTTGAGTTTCCGGGCCTCGACAATGCCCTAGTTCGATTTTGTGAGAAGCCTGAAGTAGAGCTGGCCAGCCTACATTTTATCCAAGCTCTTGACTTGATCGGCCATACCTATCTCGGACTTAAGTATGGTATCAAGGGAACTTCCTCGAAATTGTTTGTCTCCAAGGAGTTCTCTAGAACAGTTCAAACCCGGAAGACTGATGCTTCTTGTCGTCTTATGGTACGTCCTCTAGCAATTCACTTCAAACGAAATATACTGACAATGTACATATAGCGACCAGTTGAATGGGTACTCTGGAGACCTGCGATCGAAACAGCCTTGATCGTTATTCCTGAGGAAGCTGAGCTCCTTCTTCCAAAACTCCGTAGGATACAAACCCCCACGACGTTTCTTCTTACGTACACATCTGCATTCACAAGATCTCTTTTAGAGGTTGGTACCCTTGCGTACTGTCCTGTTCCAACTCCGGAGAAGGAACTTGCTATCCCTTCTTGGCTGAGCATCGAGATTGGTCTCATGGCTGGTCGATTGTATCTTCCTTACGATGAATATACGCAGCTGCGCATCTGTCTTGAAGTTGAGGAAAGGGCAGATCCTTCGGTGATAACCAATGATGTTCATCGCCGCAGGAAACATATCCTTCCCAATTTTGGTATTATCAACGCTCAATCGCTTTCAAAATTCCTAACTGAATGGGTTCCACATCGGTCGCGGTCATCTGATATCATACATACTCCTATGGGGTATCTGATTGAAAATCGGGATCTCCCTGAGAATCACCCATTCTTCACTTCTAAACCCAAATGGAGAGCTATAGAAACCAGATCATTAGCTGCTCATGGAGTGCCGATTAAGAATACAGAAGCCCAACATAGCAATGATGAAAGCGAATGGAGTGATGGCGGAGATGAATTATAAGAGCCTGTACGAGAACCGATAGTGGAGTTTTTGTAGATGTCTGATAGGATATCAGAAGCGAGGTTACTGGCTATCCGTATATTAAGTGGATATTTGGGGTGGAAAACGCTTTATCAAAACAACTTTACTGCTATTCATAGCAGACAGAGACAAGTTGAATAAACGCATACTCTCTAATATTACTAGCATAAAGATCTTATCGACATTGCCAACTGGAAGTCTTCTTGGGATTGCCGCCAATATATGTCTGCGTCTTAGGGTACAGACAATGTTTACGCTGAAAGTCGATTCCGTTAGTGGCAGTGTCGTTAATGAACTTGGTACCCGTCAAACTCGCAGGCGCTTGCCCCTTCTCGACCCAAGCCACCATGGCCGCCAATACATTATGCTGGGGGTCAAAGGGGACACCCGCAGCAGGGGCACCACCGCCTTGGCCAACAGCCCAGGCGCCAGGACCCGAGTTGCAGTGGAACATGCCTGACATGCGGAAATAGCGATAGTAGTCCTGCAGGTCGTTATCGGCAGAGTACATGCGATTCCAGAAACGCTGGGTATTGAATTGGGTGATTTGGTTATCCTGGCCACCGTGATAGCTGAGCAACTTTCCACCGCGTTTCTTGAACTTGGGGAGTTCTTGAGGGTAGGTACGGATGTCGAATGGGTTCAGCTCATCCGCCTTTCGGACATCATTCGTGTTGTAGGTGCTAGCATCCCAGCTGGGGTCGTTGTATACAACGTATCGGAACCAATCTTCAGAATAGCTGAAGGGGGTGCCTGCGATGAGCTTGGATACGGCCTGTAGTTCATTGCCAGGATTCATGCGAGGGAAGATGAGCTTGCCGTTGGGATATGTATAAGGAGCGTAGATCTTTTGCAGCTGAGCGACTTGAGCCGAGTTCAAGCAGTTCTTGGGACGTCTTGGGCTGCATTGAAGAGTCTTTGGGTTAAAGAAACACTTATCTGGGACCTCGATAATTCCATCCTCAACGCCATCGATCTTATCGCACTGTCGAAGAACTTCGTCATGGATCAGGCCTTTCCAGGTGTCAATGGGGATGTAGTTGGGTGAGTCTGCAGACCCTGTAATTGGGTAGAACATAGCTCTTTGGCCTTGGAGATTGTTGAAGTCAACAGCTGGGCATCCAGCTACAATTCCGTCATAGTCTTTAGGGTACTTCTCTGCAGCCTTGATACCCATGCGACCGCCCAGCGAGCAGCCGAGATAGTAATTGTGAGCTGGCGATTTGCCGTAGAAAGCTTTGATGAGCTTCTTAGCTGAGCGAGTGCCAGTATGCAGACTTCGATGGTCAGCTAATGGTTCACGGATGAGAAATGAGAAGGAAGACCATAGTACTCACGCTCTGTAAGAGAAGTCCTTGATAATTTCAGGGTTGTTCAGCATGGTGATACCCGTGGTACCATTATGGCCGTTGTTGGTACCCATGGTGGCGAAACCATTGGTTGTGCCATAAGCAAGATCCTCGTATTTGATGCCTAAACGTCTTGTCTCAGCTTCACCATAGTCTTGTGCTTGTTGATTGGGAATTCACTCACATCCATCGATTCCGCCATTTCCAGTTGCAAGATATCTCGATTCCTTCCAATCAGTAGGCAACCATAGCTCAAAGCTGATCGAGGACCGCTTTGAGGTGGGAATTTGTAGGGCAATGCGACAGAGGTCGACTGTGACAGCTTGAGAGGCGCGGTTGCAGGTCGGGACGTTGTCTGATAACTGTAACGTTGTACCAGCAGAAACAAACTCCTGTCGCGTCAAGGTCGAATTCTTTATGAAGCCCGCTGGCTTGAAAGCTAGACACCTCTTGCGGAAGTGTCCGTAGTCACCATGGCAAGCAGCACTCGCTACCAGGCAACTAAGTACAACAAGACACCAGCAGATACGTAGTAACAGAGCCATGATTCCTTTCCTTTGCTGCAACAGTACCCGGTCCGTCAGTGTTGAAGAACTGCGCCTCAGGTTCTAGTTAAAGGAATGGCAAAAGAGGGCGGGATGAGATGGGATGACGAACAAATGTCTCTCGGCCACTAGTCGTTGTACGACCGAAAAACCCGATGGATGACTAGGATAGGTCTTGACAGAGCGTACCTACGTAGGCGAGGTGCAGGGGCGCGGCGCAGACGCTGCAGTTCATGTTCCCCGAGATTGGGGCGGAGACGGGAGATAGAGAATCGGATGATGCTGACAGGAAATTAATCGGGCACAACAGGTGCCTGTTGGTATGTAAGCACTAAGGAAGATTGTTTCCGGCACTCTGGAACCAACAGCAGGGACCGCGACAAAATGCATTGAGGTTCATGAGCCACTAACCATATGTGATTACTTTCCCGACAGTGATTTTCTAGAGTTGATTCTGAAGGCTTGAAGTCGTGAGGTCCGAAGCCTTCAGGCCCGGAACTTCCCCCATCGTGAATAGAGTTATTATTAGGTACCAGCCTAGCTAAGAGTCTGTCCCTCTTTCCCCATTGAAGCACGGGCTTCAATTTAATCGGACGGGATGTGGCATTTAGCTTGACGTTCTACAAAGATCTTCGGCCCCGTCGGAATTGGGGACGGTGGACACATTCAGTTCATCTTGGCAATGTTGAAAATGCAAAATACCTCAAATGATTGTAGTGAAGGATGCATGTATACGGGGTTTCTAGAGTCAACGAGACACTATTGGTGGGATCACATTGTCTACAGATAAGCCAAGGCGGCATTACCGCACCCGTGTGGATACCAAACTTGACAACATGCCAGGGGTATGAACATGGTTATAGCGAAGAGACAACGAGCCTACTCCGTACTCTGTACATGTTTCCTCTCTTTACCAATCTGGTCTATGATTACGGCGATTTGGGACTGAAAGTGATAAAGAACGACTTCGCATGTGCACCTCACTACACACGCAAGATATGGAATAATTGTAAATCCTGGAGATGCGTATGGCGATCGAAAAAGGCATGACAGACTTATCGTTTGCCCAACTGCTTAATTTTATAGGTGCATCACAAACGCGGTTCCTGATACAAATACAATCAATCAGGTTGAGATCCAAGGCATTGTTTATCCCTGATACATTATAAGAAGACGAGTCTACATGTCCAAGTCTATTCTATACATTTTCATGCTTTGTGCTGGGATAGTGGCCAGGCGCAAATAGCTCTTCCGTGCTACGGTCTCTGCTCTGCAGCTCGATATTGAGCACCTCAGTCTTGGTCGGCCCAATCTTGCTAAACCCTTGACGATCGACCTTTCGTTTTTGGCTCGTGGTTGATGCCATAACACCCGAGCTATCCATCCTAGTTTTTCGCGTGTGTGAGGCACTCGTTACAGTCGTTGCTATCCCGCTAAAAACAACCTGGAAACAAGGGCGCATTGTCATGATAGTGGAAACAATGACGGCAGTAAATATTTCGGCCATGGCGAGAGTATTGGGCGTGGTATTATACCCTAATATAGTTAGAATAATAATGAGCATTGGGAGAAAGGAATGGACATACAGTGAGGATCAGTTGCAGCTCCTTCATTAGGCACGTAGATCATCACAACGCGAACCACAGCGCAAGCCGTATGTCTAACTCGTCAGCTCATTAATACAAAGACCTTCAATAGATGTCTGTGTCAACGTACGCAAGTCCCAACGCAATGAGAAAGAGAAATTGCCATATTTCCTTATTCCGATGCCCTGTTGACAGAAGAGCAGGAAATGGTATCAAGACGAGCAAGACGGACGTGAAGGAGTTGATGTAGGCATTTGCTACACGGAATTTGGTGTTGTCGATGCATGTGCCGTCGAGATCCCCTTGCCAGGCTTTACGAATTGGGTTGCATTGGAAGGTCGACACTAGAGTGCCGCCAGTGTAATAGGCAATGTTGACGCCCATCAGGGCAAAGTTGGCATACCGTGCAATTTTTGTACTCAAGAGAACAGGTTTGCTGAAGATGTTCATATAGATAGTACAAATAGAAAGCTTGATCACGCCCGCTGTCGCCTTGAAAAAGACCTGGTTGAGCCAGAAGCACTGCGATTGTTAGTGGAGGGATGGAAGTAACGTGGAGGTGGGAAGATCTACAATTTTAGGCGTCAGAGCTTTCTGGATATCTGGCGGCAGATCATCTTTGTGATAACCATAGCCCCATCGGAAGTATGCTGACACTCTGTCAGAGGTGTTTCGTCAACAAGCTCGCGACACTTACGGTCTAGGTTGAAGCCAGCAAGACATACGCTCAGGGACTAAATAGTTAGCATTTGTGATAGAAAATATTGAGTTGCACGAAACTTACCAGACCAACTATCAACAGGTAATCTGGTAGTCCAATGACCTTTTTCCAGAGACGCCAGGATATCCTCCATATGACTAAAATAGTAGCGCTAGCCAGCAACGTAAGCGTCACGGCTTTGAGCTTGGCCGAATTGTTAGGCCCTTGGTAGTACTCGGACATGGGCGTGTAATGGAAACTGCAGCTTCGAATAAACAGCTCGAGGGAAGACGGAGAAAAGACCGAGGGACTGGTGCGCCTTTATTTAAAACATAACATGTATGCGCGCACTGCCTGCAGCAGCACATTGCAAACGAACAGCCCATTTGGCATTTAACCTTAAAGGCCGATACGAACTTTGTTACGGTTGACAAGGTATTGCCACACTCGACAGCCACTGGATTCACATCCTTGTAGCAGTTCGGACGAGACCATCAATCTGTGACTCGATTATTTACATGGATCTTTGCATGCAGATATTCTTGGGTTGCATGCGCTGCGGCACGGCTGGAAAAAAGAAAGTTCCTGGACAATGCATTGCCATTTATTTATTTAAGCAAGACCGGTGGTGATTGAGTTATTGGTGACTTCAAGTCATGCCTTCACAAGAGACACAATTCCTCACATTGCAAAACAACGGCTACCGGTAGACTAAGCCTCTAGCCACAGGGTCTCAATCATACCATTCGTGTATCTATCTCGTTCTCAAGGTGTCTAGATCTACTTCTAGCAGCCAAAGAGCCGAGAGATTCCACCACTATCCTGTACAATATTGGTCATTTAACTTCAAGGGACGTTTTTGCTTTTTACCAGCAAGACGGGGATTTAAAGCTGTCCGGGCTCTTTATTCTCGGCCGTTGCCAAGCCCATGGAACCACCACCTTAAATAATCTATTTCCTCTGATCAGATGTCGGATTCGGGTTAATTCTCGCCGATACGATATAAACAGGCATATCTCTTTGACCGTGTTGGTTGCCCACTTCTCTTCTGAAACTCGCTTGCCGGTAATCGGCTGCGCATTGCTTGGCACTTTTTCAGGAGATTTCCTGCGCCAATTACCTTGACAAAAAGCAAATCTGACAGGTATGCCCAAGCGAGCCAACAAAGCTTTTAACGGCCCACAGTCGTGGAGTATGGCTGGGGTTGGAGGTTATTTCAGGCGGGCATGTAACCTTCTTGAACCGGCGTCGCTTCCGACATTCCTCATATGGTATAGACACCGCACAAGGACTAGGAACGGGACGGAAGGACGGGCCAACCGTTTCCGCTGACAATCAACGGCTTTGGATTCCGAAGATTGGGAGAGTATAAGGGGTACCGGACATTAATATATTAGCATGGGCAAATTGAGAGCTCAAAGTGCTAGAGACGAATTCCTGACTATCGAAACACGAATGACAGCAGAGACTTAGCTTTGCCGCTAATTCCGCCGCCATTTGAAAGCAGACTTCCATCCGCGACTATCTAGGGTCGGGTAGTGGCTTGGGAAGACCTGGATTTCTCCCTCGAGATTAGATGATCACAGGATGCATGTGTAATATATCAGTTATTTCAACTTAAGAAATGCATAAACTGATTTCATTGGGAGGAAGAATTTGACGATTTGATTGATTCAATTGGGGTGATTGATTGATTGAGTTGGCATATGATGAGCGCCGTTCTTTATAGTGTGTTACAGGGTGTTATACTTCGTCGCGATTATCCTTATAAGACTTCAATCGACGCCATTCCCCCTCTGCCTCAACGCTCTTTTGAAAGCACTCCAACGAGATTCAGAACCATCCGCAGGCTGTTGCAGTGACTTGTCACGTAGCTCATTTAGATCCCTGATAATATTGATAGCCATGTTCGCATCTAGTCTGGTCCAAGGCGACCAAACTCCTTTGTAGACCTTGAGCCCGACCCAGATTACTAGAAACGCGATTACCTATTTGCATGATTAGCATTTGTTGGGTGTTGAAGTCTTGGCTACCTACCGTCAGATATCCAGAGCAGAATGGGATGATGTGAAACTGTTTCCACAAAAAGACTCCATTGCAGATCAGAAGAATGACTAAACAGCCCGTAAAGGCAAAGCCGGCTAGGGCTGGTTGCCAGTAACTTTGATACGGATAGGCCTCGGATTCCTGTTCGCGGTCTCGTGCCAGGTGTATTCCTTCCCTAGCCAAGGCATCACGAAACATGTGAATACTGGTTTATAGTCAGCAGTAGCCTGCTAAGATTTGCGGAGGAATCCATAACGAACCAATAATAGTAACGGATATATGCCAAACATAAACAAGCCCAGACAATGACAACACTGACAGACCCCATCTGAACTAAGATCTCGACAAACTGTGAGAAGTTAGTCTGGATACTGAAAGGTTAGGAAAATCGAAGAGGCAACTAACCTTTCCTAGTGTCGACCCTGTATTGAAACTCTCTTTTCGTTGGAGAAATGGGACCCAGCAAAAGGCTACAGCGGAAATGGCCATTGCCCGCAGCGGCACCCTATTGCGGTCCGTGACGCCAAACCAGGACAGAAGTCTTGGTACATACTCCTTAGAACGAATATTCCGCGTCACACCGAATAGTGTCCTTGACGCAACATATAAGTTTGTATTTGCACATGTAAGCGCTGTGAAGACGATAAAGGCATTAAAAACATTATCTAGGTTGTCAATCTTCGAGTCCTGTGCAGCAATGATGAAAGGCGAGTATGTGAAGCCTCGTTCATTTGGGTCTGGCTCTGTGCAGTTCTTGTCCTTTACCGAGGCAAGTCTCTGCAGGCCGCAGTTATCTCTCTTGAGGCTTAGAGTGACGAGGAGTCCGCTGATAGTGTAAGCAAAGGCAACGAATATTGGTAGGAAGACAGCTGTAAACCCGAGTGTCTTTTTGACAGCCCTATGAGATGAAGCTAATTCTGTTCTTTGTCGAGGAGGCGATGAGTTTTCTGAAGTAGGACCCTCTGATGAGCCATGGCATGATCGAGGTCTCTCTGGTACTGAGGGCCAGCGAGCTTCTATGACAGAAACAGCAATGTTCTCAACGCCAGCATATGCAAAAGTAGCGATTGAAAGACACATCCTGGAAGATGTTAGCAAATTGGAATGCCCGGCCCGTTTCCATCCACAGAACTTGCTTACATAAAGCCCTCGAACCAACCATTGGCAGCATTATTATCGTGTTCAAAAGGTGCATTCCAACCTATGTTTCCGATTGTATTAGCGTTTTTAACTTTGGGCTTCCTCGCAGCATCTTCGAGGTACTTACTTGACACTTTGCTCACAGGTCTGTCGGCTATTCTGGGTCATCAGCATATGTCTCCACATCTTTGATTGTGACCTACGCAGAGACCCAATGTAAATAAGACAAATGATAATTATAGCCAAGAAAATTAGCTTGATAATACCAGTGACGACTTCGAGCCAACCATATATCTTGTACCATTAGCTTGGTTTTTGATAACGTAAGATAGAATACGTAAACGAACCTCGACCTTGACTGAATTGATTGCCACGAGTGTTATCGGTAAAGCGACGTATACGAACCCCTCAGTGAAGCCCTCCATATCGGCAGTCCAGAAGTTTAGGACGCTAGCAGAAGTGGTGATCAAGGCAGCAAATCCGATAGAGTAGGTGAACCTGACGATGAAATGTTACCAGGGGAAAACTGTAGATGGTGCCGAAAAGGCCTACCAATACGCGATGCCTACAGCATCACCAAGCTCTCTGTCAACAAATTTCTTGACAAACAAGGGCACTGCACCTGGTACAGGCCATAGACATAGAAGCTCAGCGATACATTGCATAACCGCCCAGACCAGGATACCGAGAGCAATGAATGACAGAACGACCGCAACTGGTCCTCCAAGTTCAAGAATTTGGCCACTTCGAACATATAGGCCTGTTCCAAGCGTGCCATTGATTGCGATCATCTATTTCAGTGTCAGTTCATAAAAGCCTAGGTAGCTCAATGTTAAAGCTGAGTGTCCTAGACTTACGAAAATATGAATGCCTCTGAGCTTTCGTCGTACGGTGTGAATGGGAAGTTGTGGAACCTCGGTGACACCACGACTCCGTGGCCCAAGTACCGTTGGAGTATTCGAAGTGCCATTGAGTCCGTTGGAAGGTGTGGAGTGATCACCACTAAGGATTCCAGGATTGGATCTTGAGATGTCTTGCGATAAAGAAGTATTGGGGGCCAAGTTATCGAGAGCGATGTTCGGTCCCTTTGCTTGACCGGATACCATTCCAGACATGTTTGCGGAGTTTAGGCAGTAAAGAGTTGCTAAGATGATGGAAAAGGGTTATAGGAGTTGTTTAAGTATGGAGAGCCAACTTCTGGCACGGCGGGATTAAAAATTGTAAAAGATTCCTATGTTCGCCCCTCCTACTCCTGATACCGCAGCCTAAGCCCTGAGCCTCTAAGCGCCCTAGGGTGCCACCGTGAATCCCTAGAAGAGATAAGAACCTGCGGCTTAATCCTCTATTACTTCAAAGTTCGGCTCCTGAAACATTACAAGGGTTGGAGAGGCTGGTTCGTATTGCTTACGTGACGCTAAGGTTTGTGTAACTTGGCTAGAGAAGTCTTGCTTGGGGCCAGCCTGATTTCTCCTCACTGTCACAAAAGGAAAGCAACCCGACGAAAGTTATAAAGAAAATCGAATAAAGAGATTTTAGACATAAGAACTAACATATTCTTACTCACTACTTACTCCCATAAGCGACAGTGGATTGGAACTCTGCTTAGGCGGGCTATGGTGTGCAGGATGAATTTCCTAAGTTGCATCATAGCCAATGGGGAGTAGTTTCTACCTCCGATCCTCCCAGCCTCCTTGACCTCACCGCTGTTTGCCTTGCGGAGACAGTCTTGGATGCCTTATTTGGAATGAAGACAATTTCAAGCCATAGACAATATTTTATTCTCAGCCTCTTTCATCCCCCACCGTCCGTTCACTTGTCTAGAGCGGTTGAATGTAAGCAAAAGAAGCCTCTCTTGGAAATGGGAGGTTTAAGTTGGCGGTTGCTGCCTACTTTGTGAGCTTGAAATCAGGCTGTGCTGCTGGATGCTGCATGTGGCGTGGGACTATTGCTGCATCAGAGCCTTATCACATTCCTCCCGACCAACGAAATTCGTTCAACGACATAGACACGCTGCAGTCGGGCGATCCGCCAAGCCAATACGAAAAAGCCATGTCTTATCAGGTTCTAATGTGCATTGAGGGGTACCGAATTGTCAACAGAAGGGATTACGTGTCACTTGAAAATGCGTCGAGATGCATTTGCGAGGAATTGGATGGATGAGTAGGCAGCCGGAAGCCTGAATTGTTACAAGTACTATTGATGAACCATCTTTGAGAATGGAGGCTCTGTTGGAAGTAAGGCAGATAGGATATGCCAACAATTAAACAACAATGGTGGGCATAAAACACGTTCTCGAATCACGGTACTATGACAAGTTGAAACTACAAAGAGCCCTCGAGAAACGTTTTCCCGATCAGGATGGGAAATTTGACTTGAAAGTATGTGCAGCGCCCTGGCGCGCGTTGTGCTGCTGTAGGCTGACTGGCACTGAAGAATGTCAACGAGAAATGGGTTTTCTACGCCCCTGAGCAAGCTACCAAGGTATGATCGCTCGAGGAAAGACACACTATTACTTCATTAACATTATGACAGGAAGACTTGAAGTAAGGACATATCGGTGCCATCAGATCGACAATATGAATTGACGGATACTAGGGACGCCGAGATCATTCCCACTTCGTAAGACTGTGCAAATGCGACCGGGAAATGACAGGCTGAGCGAGGCACGTGGAACTGCGCGGATCCCTCTGTGGCCTATATCAGGCTCTGAGGCAGACTGCTAAGAGAGCCTAGCAACAATGGGAATGGGGTATTTGAGAGCCTGACTTGAATTAGTTGAAATAGAGTACAAATCACCTCATATGAACGAACTTAAAGCACCATAATTCCTCCCTTACTTCTGGGTTATAAAGTACTTGTTTCAGTCAGTTTAACAATACTCAGCTCGCATCAATGCATACATTAGCGCCCAATTTTGTCGATGAAGTCATTGTGCCCATCAGAGTCATCAGTACGGGGGAGAAAATAAAAGATGAAGATAATACGAGTGCAGAGGTACATCAGTTATCGACTTTGGAGCAGGTCGAGTCCCACTTCAGCCGCACCACGCACTCCTACAACTTTGTGTACGTACTTCCGGAGCATTATGTCCATGCTTCTATGCACTGTGCTGATCGCCGAGAACAGGTCGATATGTCAGCGTAATTCGTATAGGCCTTTGGAGATAACCGAGCCAATGTTCAATCACCTGATTAAGAAGTTCGATTTGAAGGCTTCTGCATGGGATGTGGCCTCTTGCTTTTATGACAAAGATTTTGATATTGAATCTACTTACTGTGCTCCCTTTACTATACATCATAATGGAAATGTAACAGGTAAGCAATTATCAGGCTCCTATGGTCCATGATCTCACATAAACCCAGAAGTGTCATACACCATCCGGTATCCAGAATTCAAGTCCGCTGAGGGGACCTGGGTCATTCGGCAAACCGGGATTTATCAGAAGTTTAACACTAAAACATCGCAGAACTTGTTCATCTTGCTCAATCCTGCACCATCCACGAGATTGCATCAGTACGCGCAGGTCTTGGCATCAAAAGGTCCTCAGAGCATCCAGCAGGACTCCTTTTGGCTACACAAAGAGCTTTTTAGAACCTATTTTCCTGCGTGGAGACTTTACAACGCTTATTTGGAGAAATCGTTGATTCCGATAGTAAGTATACATTCAACGAAGTTGATCAATTGACTGATTTGTTCGCAGGCAAACAACGCGGTAGCCACCTTTATTGAGGAACTGACCGAGACGGAATACCATCATCTCACTGAGCTGGCATTTCTTGAGACCCGCTTAGTACAAGTCCCCGCTATGCTGGCAGCTTCAAGGGATGTCCTTGAAGGTCTAGTATGTCTTTGTCGTGAGATAACCGGTAGAGAAGACGAGAAGATTGCCGAATTTTCAAGATCTGCATTGGCAGCCATTCAGCAACATATCCGCGAATGCGCAGGCTACACCAGAGTAGCAGACTGTCTAGAACAACGAGTTCAGAAGATCACACAGCTTTTGGCTAACACTTTATCCTTCCGTGAACAATTGAACGCCAAGGTGCAAAACAACAGTATGCTGAAACTGAATAACCTTATTACTACCCTGACTGTCCTATACTTGCCTGCATCTTTCGTGGCAGTAGGTTTCAACTGCCCATCTCTCTAACCATATACAACGCTAATTAGTCACAGTCTTTCTTCGGTATGAACTTCTTCGATTTCGATAACGAGTCACGCCAGATCGTGGGAACCCCTATCCTTTGGATTTACTTTCTCTGCTCTGCGGCTATGACTGTCATGACCTATGTCTTTTATCATTTATTGATCCAGAAAGCACTGCTGAAGAGAATAACATGGAAGATTCCTTCAATAAAAATGTATACCAGGACGAGGACGAGAAAGAAGGAACTCCATAAGGGGCCAGAGCTTGTGTAATCTAGCAGAGTATTCGCTATTACCTAAATCTATGTACCGAGTGAGTTGCTGACATCTATCTGAAACACAAAATACCGACCCTCAAGCATGTCCACCATGATACGTGCAATAGTCACATTTCCCTCACAAGAAACACCCAGTTTTGCTTGATAACCCGCTGATACACCGATATCAGCCATCTTCGTAATCTTCGGCCGAACATCTGGACTCTGGGTTTCAATGTTCAGAAGAAGAAGACTTTTGCTCCCAGATTGTGACCCCAGAGCAAGAATCTTTCTCGAGTGCTCGACAGTTGCGATCTTCAGAATACGATAGCTTTGGATGGGCGGATGGATGACTACCGTTGGACTCGATTCAAAACCTTCGTATCTGAGATGGAACAGTCGCTCTGCTTGTGAGGCTATGATGAGTTCGGATCTCCGGCTCTGATTGTCACTCTGAAGGCACGCCATGTCGGTGAATAATCTTTCGGCATTATTGTTCGTGGACTGGAGAGGTTTTGTTAGAAGATGATGATATAGTTTCAGCAAAGCAATACTAACCCTTTGCATTAAAGCTTGCTCCTTCATATCTAAAGGCTCGATGATGAAAATATTCACCGAGAGAGTTGAACCCTGGCGAATAATTATATATCCTTGGTTTCTCGTTTCAAGAGTCAGGCAGGTGATCTCGCCTGGAGGCAATTCCAGGAGGGTAGCCTTTTGATCGATGATACAAACACCAGCATCTTTGTGTTCGCTCCTTGTCGTGTCCGAGTAGATGCTAAATCATATGTTAGGATTGCTCAATATTTCTAGGAGTCACTTACCTTGCTGCTGGGGTAGGCTGAGGAGCTGGATTGAATGCAATTCTGCCAGTGAATAATGAAGGGCGGCCTCTCTTATCCTGAAGGATACAGGCCAAGGAGTTCCTGTCAGGGGAAACTGCCAGCATATGAATTCCTGGATGTGACAGTGTTACTCTGCTGTACATGTTTAGCTTACGGTCAATTTCGACGTCGAATATGTAACACTGTGAGATATTAATAGGTCAAGTTTGGAGAAAGTCTAGTAGTGTATAACTGTCTGTACTTACATTGAACAATTCATCTGTCGTTGCTGCGATCAAGTATCTGTTAGTTAGCCTCACTGATCTCCACGAGCGACTCCAATCTGCAAGGGAATATTGTCCAGCGACTGTCAGGGTAGACTCTCGCTCACTGTCCGTTGAACTCATTCTTGAACCCATACTATAGACCCTGCGGTACGGTATTGCATTGGTTAATCCAGAGCGGTCGTCGAACAGTGTGATGGTTTTGTTGGTCCAGTAGGCTACCCTAATACCATCTGGCGAGCACACGCTATCTTTGTACTTTAGCTTCTTGTCCACTTCTAGTCTCCATCGACGAATATTTGTCTGTGCGAGTGACTGCTTGCTCTTGCGTCGGAAAAGGCTATCTTTTATCAGTGAATCTTTTCCTGTCATATTGATTAGGAACCTACCCTAAAACCTTCTCTTGTGCCTTTTGAACTAGGGAATGAGGCATTGAGTCGTTTTCAGTGATGCTGAGCTCGCTTTCCACGGTGCTGTACTTCTTCAGTGTCGCCTGCAAAAGTTCGACAATTCTATCTGCACCACACCGACTGCCCTGATCGATCAAGAGCACCTCACCCTCTAGGGACTTGAGCATATATTTCACAGCAACTCCTTCCGAAGGACTCCGTTCGGCGGCTAATTTTATCAACTTTTCGTGCTGCTCAACAACTCCACGGTTAATCTCGAACCCGATATTGGATTTGTTGTACTGATAAAAACAGTCGACGTTTTTGTTGCTGCACAGAAGTCGTGACTCGCTGTAGCCTCCGAAGCCTTTGTATCCTTCTCCCATATATGTGAAAAGGAGGCTGAGAATACAACCGAATGACCAAATATCACTCTTCTCATTCATCGTCCTGCCTTCTAGTTCTGCCTCGACTGGTAGGAACATGTCTGTACCTCGGAAGTTTTGAGTCGCTGAGGCTTGGCTGGGTTGGTCTTTGAAGCGTGTCCTGAAGAGATTACTTAGATCTGCTTGTGACCTTGTTCTTGTCTTCACTCTCGAAAGACCAAAGTCGCTAAGCTTCCATATCATGTCACGAATGGAAGTTTCTGATCTTCTGCGAGTATCGTGAAAGATAAGAATATTGCTCGGCTTGAGGTCCATATGGTAGCAAACAATCGGATCGCCCTCTGATGTAGTCATCTTCCTGTGAAGAAAATCAAGGGCGCCTGCAAGCTCTCTAGTAGAGCGAATGATGCTCTCTCGTGTACTCGTGTCGCTAGGAGATATTTCCGGATTTCTCTTCATATACTCCTGCAAGTCCAGATCTGCGCAGGGCATAAGAAGACTAAAGGTTGATGGCTTTCCTTCTATGACAATAGTGCCAAAACTCTTGAGGATGTTGTCATGCGTTGCCTGGCCGCTGAAGATATCTCTGATTGCTTTGACTTCCTTCTTGAAGCTTACCTCTGCGGTGTCAACGCAGATAAAGTCTTTGCGAGCGATGGTCATGGGACTCGAAGTAGGCTGACTGAAATCCCCATCCGTGGTTAAGTGGCCTTTCGGGATCGTAACTTTATATACAACGCCAAAAGCTCCGGACCCGATCTGCTCTTGCTCCAGCCATGGCAGTGATTTTTGGTCATCGCTGCGAATCATCACAAGATCTAGACTCCCAAGCACCAGGGCGCAGAAGGGACGCTGCTCATCAAAAAAGTCTCGTCTATCAGACGGCCGTGAGAAGAGACGTTCAAGAAATTCCTTGCTGGCTGGTAAGAGGTTTGGTGTCTCTTGGTCTTCTTCTTGAAACTCCGCCTTATTTCCAAACACTAGTGTATCCAGAAATTCCTTTATGGCGTCGATTGAGCACTTGGCGTAAATTAAAACTGCCAAGAAATGTTGAAGTTTCTTTTCCTTAACCTTTTCCGCAAATTTGCGTGCGTTGGCTTGGTCGGTGTCCGTTGGCATTTTTGCATTCGCGGCTTTCAAGGCTCTATAAACAGCCTCCAGATTTGACGGCGAAAGGACATGTTTGACCATTCCTCGTGTGGCGAATTTTTCTGTCGTATTTTTCTTTTCGAGGCCATCTTTGAGCTGTGATCTTATGTCATCGAGTAAGTCATCATATAGCGACCCCATTACTACAAAAGAAAAAGCGATGGTGTTTTATGGCTGGAAGCAACGAAATGAACTGAAGGGATGGTTGAGGCTGCGGCTGTAGTGGGGTGCGTATGTCTTTATTAAAGCTTGCTCTCACGCTTACGTGGGGTGCGATAGGCAACCCCAATCCTTATCAACCTGAGGAAATCGGCGAGAAAAGAGATAAGAAGCTATCGATTGGCTGAGCTTTCATCTCACCGCTGTACTACAAGCGCTAGCCCAATATCAGGCCCTGGGACACTTTTCAGCCGCAGGGAACAATTGCAATTCAAAGCACATTAGCACCATGTTTACCCTCAGCTCTTTAGAAAGGTTGATTTCTAGAATCACCAGATATCTCTCTACTTTAGATCGGTCCATTTCTCGTTTAAAATGGGTTGACTACAGGCCCTGAGAATACCACTGGTTCTGTTCTTTGCAGGTATCCGTTTGGCTAGCGTAAAGCAACACCCAGGTCAGAAGCAGGGATTCCAACCAATTATAGAGTTATAAGCTTAAGGTATATTGAGCGTCGCCTAGATTCAAGTAGTTATAGAAATCTTAATACCTTCTAAAGGTATAAAGAAATACCTAGTATTAAAAGAATATATAAAATATTTAAATATAATCTTTTATATCAGTAATTTAATAATTATTAAGAATATTTATTTTCTTTTTATTAACTAATAGCTAACTTTAATCTTTAATATTGTATTTTAAAAAAGCTTACTATAAGATATCTAATATATAATCTTAATCTTGAGAAACTATTAAATAAATTTTATACCTCTCTAATTAAAAATATATTTTAAATATATATTTAAATATTTATATAAGCTTTTTAATATTTAATTACTAATCTGCTTAATATAAATACTACTAACTTTATCCTATATATTAACTACTTTTAAACTTTATATTACTTAAAGCCTAAGGGTGAAAAACTTTAGAGAAAAGCTAAGTTTAATTAAGATTAATTTATATTTTATACCTTAATAAGGCAAGTTTATAATATTTAACTAGGCACTTTCATATACTTACTAAATCATAAACTAGATATACTAATAATAAGTAATATCTATAGCTTACAGATTTTTTTACTATATAGAACTTGGTTAATTCGCTTTCCCTCTTTTACCTACTATGTCCATTTAGCTAGCGGGTTCCAGGGAAGTCGGATTGTCCCTCCATCTCTACAATACGCGATCCCAACATCCCCCTCGTTTGTCCTATAATAGCACACCAACGTCTTTGGCTCCCAACCCCAAAATCCACCTGCTCCGAGAGTATCTCCTGTACCATCCAACTCACCTTCTTTCTCCAGCTGTTCTATCCTCGCCCTTCTGTGCAATGTTGTCAGTTACCCGCGCAACTACAAATGTGTTGAAGCGAGCTGATACTTACGTCAATGCATTCTCATATCCCCAGACCACAGCAATAATTGGTGAGGGTTGAGCCTGGCAAAATTCCATTCGCTTTTTGGATATAGCCTCATGTTTGATTTCGATATTAGACGTGGTCGTGCTTTACATCGGACAGGTTAACCCCCAATCGTTGCAACTATTAAATGTGACTTGACTTACTCAGCGGCAAGAAGCTCCATGGGTCGATCTCCGTACGAATACAACACGTTAAACATCTTTCTTTCCACGTCAGGCCATGGATCGCCAAACTGTTCTACCAGTGAATCTCCTTTGATTTGCAGGGTTTGCTGTGGAGTTACAAGGCTTCGGACTATTTGTGTAACGTCCTTGTCTGCAAATACAGCACCATATATATGCAGTGGTGGACCAGTCTGAGGCTGAAACGCACCTATAGAACTCGAGCTTTGAAGTGACATAGGCGCACCCCCCGTCTGGTGTGGTGGCGAGCCAAAGCTCTGTATGCCGGGCACTACTCCAACCGTCTCAGCAGTGGGATTGTGAGCATGCCCGGAGTTACCTGGCGGATGTTGCCCATAATATGATGGCGGTGGTGATACTTGGGGTCCAGGCACAAAGACCGGATAGAAGTGCGTCTGTGTTTGCGTATGCGTGTAAGCTGCCGTTTGTACCGTTGGTGCTGGTTGGTGATGTTGCTTGTTTCCAAAAAGACCCATTATCTTGGCTCCAACGACACCAGCGCCAGCGATTGCAGCGGACTGGGCCATTTTACCTAAACCATCTTGTTGGCCATGGCTTTCGTGATGTTTCCCGAATTTATTGCGAAAAGAGGAGCCAGCCAGAAAGCCTCCACCCATAGCCAATGCGGTCTTTCCTAGGCCGCGATCTCCATCCCCAGGGGGTTGGTTGTCCGCCCCCACTTCCGTGGTAGTTGGATGATTCTCAATCGTAGGGACAGTATGATCTTGAAGAGTCTGGTATTGTTGTTGCCTGGGCGGGGAGACCGGACGCGCCCACTGAGTAGCTCCAGTAGCAGGAAAGACGTAGTACCTAGACAACAAGACTGAGCAACACAGTCGAACCATTTGACAGAATGGAGCTTGGTGCAACTAACCATGCATTGTGCTCTGGGCTCCAGTTCGACACCCAGCCAGTAGGTAAAGTTGGCCCATCGCCTCCCAGCGCTTCCTGCGCAGACGAAAAAGTAGATGCGGACATATAAGCAACACGATCTTGTTGGGGATTGTTGGTAAGGGGGAGGATGGCGTTTGAGTCAAAGGGCTACGGTGATTTTGAGACTCGGGGGAACGAAATCGTTGAATATTAGTCGCGGCATGAATAGAGATCATGCCAAGAGGTGAGATGGTGCCATTGACAGGCTGATGCGGGGTTCATATACCTCCCGACTGCGCATGGCGCGCAGAGTGGTATGGTCAGGCGCCATCGTCTATCCAATGTTCTGATGGAGGGTAATAGCGCCTGTACTGACGGCCTCCCATTAAGAGGGACCTCCGGATAAGCGGCTTAGTCCTAGAGTCACGAGAGGGAGCGTAATGCATAAATATCAGTACAACACAAACAAGTAAGAAATAATATTCGTTTCAGCCCTGAGCCTAACGTATGAATGGGCTCAATTAAGGGCGTTAAGGCTCGTATATGAAGTGCCGAAAGCCGCTTATTAGCCTAGCTGGGTTTTAACGCAATGCAACGCTAACCAGACCTGTTGCCTACTGACATGTATTGCCTACATAATTGGTCAAAAGCAATTCCCAGGCTATTATCTCACGCAAGTACCCTAGCATTGAAAAGTCTAGACCTTTTGTGGCTTGAGCTACTATGGGAGCTGTGACAGTTTACTTAGTTCTTATTAGTTATTAATTATTAAGTACTTCTCTGTTATGAGAGAGTACTCCGGCTTGCGACGGAGAGAAGACGAGCACATCTCCACGTGCAGCGAAGATTATAATATTCTCAAGAGGTTTATCTAAATGCCTCAGGGAATCCTCTTTATAGAGTTGCTGGTGCTGTGCTGTTTGAAGCCCGAGGTAATAACAGTATTATTTTCTTAGTATTATTATAACTCAGATCGAGTCCTTTAAGCACTAAAGCATCTCTGAAGATTTGTGCTAATGCAATAAAGATATATTAGTTATACAATACAAAGTTAAGTAAAATAGTAAATAAATACCACCTGGTGTCTTAGTATATTAAACTTGCTTATAGAGCCTTTATTAGTATATTCGCTTGCTAATGTTGAGGTTTCTTACCTGTTGCTTTATTCTAGGACCTTATTGCTAAAATGCTGTATCTTAAAACTAAGTTCTTGTGAATAGTGTTATTATTAGCTACCTGCGCTAACTATAGGGGGATAATTCCCCTCAGATCTTAACCATAACAGAATTACTCCTACTCACACATTTGTACCGTTTAAAACTTAAGTTCTTCGTGGTGATATAAGCTCTCAGCCACAAGTCTCAACTGCAATTAACACATCTGGCTCACAACTTGACAGTATACCTCCGGCATACGTAACTGCACCTGGATCCTAGGAGAAAGGTTCCTCTGGAATAAGGTCGCCAATGCCGCAGCTTCTGACTCTTGAACAGCATGGCTACGCCGCTCATGATGCGCAGCTGTGTTATGATACGTAAAGCACTAAGTATCGCAAAAATCTCTATAGTATTAGCACTAATAAAAGCTATTCTGGTTAATAGAATAACCTTTATAATAATAGCCATAGTGACAAAGTGTATAATAGAGAAGAGACCTATCACTATCCCGATCACAGCTTTAAGGACATTTTTTCTACAAGTAGCAGTAGCTATCATAGGCACCATTATACCAGCAGGGCCTTGTTTGCATAAGCCAAGGCAAGTTGTTACTTTACATCCCAAGCAGTCAGGGAGCCTATGGCAGAGAATACCCTCTGACTAACCTGGCCGCGACCATACTAGCACTAGGTAAATAAAACAAGATAACCATCGAAATTCATACATAGCTTCCTACTAATGGCATATATCTTAGTATACTAATACCTAAATTAATAGTTATTACATATCACCCTAACTCTCGAAATACACTTAACTCTAGGACTTTAGTTAATAGAGTAATAATAAGGATAAAAGCTAGCAGCTAAGTTAATTATAAGAATAAGTTAAAAATAGATATAAAGCCTAATTTAGTTAATAATATACAGAAAGCGATATATATAAGTATCCCAGTCTAATAGGCCAAGCTTTGCGTTAAATGCTTAATTCTAAAGCGGCGAATTAAAGGCAGCGCATTTGGTGAAACCACAGGAGAACAAGACTTCACTGTCGCTTGGTACTTGGAGTGGCTTGATAAGTCTGATAATCTTTAGTACAAGGTACTGAGGAACAGCTTGATGTCTCTAGCTGTTATTGCTGCTATACAGGCCTTTCAGACAGAGGAGAAAGAACCAGAGAAATATGATCCCGAGGAAAAGGACCTAAAGGACAAGAAACCAGCGGCTAAGCAATGAGCTGCCGAAAGGCTGGGAGGGAAAGCACATTTGCGTGATGAATTGTACCGAGGACTGTATAACTCTAAGTTTCTTTAGAACTGTCATTTTGAGTTCTAGACCCGACAGCTGATACTTGCATCGTGCGCCATACCTCCTATACTGAGCACGTTGCTGTAGACTCGTCCTTGATTTGCGCCATCTGCTTCAGCACGATTCAGTTCATGATAGGTGCGCCAAATGATTATTCGGCAGATGTGCTAGCAGGGCTGATACGTGGTCATAATGTTTCGACAGACGTGGTGGGAGAATATACCTGGGATCAATTGGGAAGACATATGTACATAACCGGTAGTCAATCATACACATGTGTATGTTGCGGCAGGGTTACATCTGCCGAGCCTCACCTCAATATACGATGGCTTCTAGCTAACGACATATCCTTGGATGCACTTTTGTCTATACGACGAAGCAAACTACTATGTTTTGGGAAGGTTTTTTACATAGACCTAACGTCTTGCGCCGTTATGGTTAGTTATTTCACAATTCTATGCCATTTTGGGGTCCATAGGATCACTCCACAATCAGTCCAATTTTGCCTCAAGCCAGGGTTCGGGAAGCAGTAATACGTGCGATATGAACAGCGGCCACGCTCCTTGATACCAGGGCAAAGTGCTGGCTTATACGCGACGCTCGTTTGGGGCTTCACAATTGCGACGGGGACTGTAATGGCTTTGACTTGGCGACTCACTCGATGGCATATATGAATGTGAGCGTGAGATGAGGAATCGATGCGACAATCCAATTGTGTCTTGACTAAGATATGCTATCGAATGGTCTTGGCAACCCCTTATTTCTGCTTACCCCATACCTCCTTGATGTAATCTTCAACTGCGACAAACTTGTAGTCAGGGAAGATTTTGTTCCACTCATCAGAAACAGTCCAAGCTCCAAGAGCCGTCGAGCGCAACATGCCCACCCAAAGAGGCACATGGTACACTGTTCTCATCTCATCTGTCATAGCGGGATGGGCCATGACAGGAAGGTCAACAGCCAAGACACCAGCCTCTAGGTCAGCCGGGTCAGTCAGTTGAAGTTCCGTGGGTTTGCCTTAAAAATCGGGAAACATTAGTTTAGTCTAGCAACGTCCACGAACGAAGACCATACCTGTAACTCTCTGGACGATTTGCTTCAATTGCTGTGGGGTGACTTGATTGCCCATTATTCCCCCAATTCGAGGCCACTCGCCTTCATACTCAATTGCGCGTCGGACAATCCGACCAATATCCCGGGCGGCGGTGAAGGTCAGTGGCTTGTCTTCAGAGCCTTTGACCGACACGATGCGATTCTCTCTCACAAGCCATGGTGAATCCATGGAGTAGAGATATTTAAGCCGCTTGTGGGGATGACCGAGGTAGTCAAGGAATATGCCTGGCTGGAACAAGGTGTACTCGATGACCTAGTAATAAGTTTAGACAAGTAGAGGACTTAAGAAAACCAAGAGTGATAACGGACCTTCCTGTCTTTGTTGATTTCTTCAAGATATTCTTGAATGGCAAGCTTGCTACGGTAGAAACCCAGACTGTCGATTGCGTCGCGGAGTTTCTGACCACTAGTGTTCTCTGGTTAGTAGCAAGACGGGAGCTCGCTAGCGATATCGTGAGTCAGATTGATATACTTACGTCGCCCATTCGCTCGGCGCATATCGCTTTACACCTGCAGCTACGGCAGCGTCAATGACGAATTTGCCGACTGTATTTTCAGCGTCTTCGTTAACCACGATAAAGTTGAGAACAACGTCAACTCCCCGAAGGTGCTTTACAAGCTCCGATTTATCCTCGTAGGATATCTGAATCCAATTGACATTGGGTTGCTGGGGATAGTTTGCAGGATCCTAGATATAGTAAACACGGTTAATAAGGCTTTAGGTACACTAAGCAGCCAAGATTCCAGAATACCTTTCTGACAAGGGCCATTATTTCGTGCTGACCTCCTTCGACGAGAATATCTATTACCTCACGGCCAAGAGCTCGTAACTGTCAGTCAAGATCTGACTCCAGGACGGAGTTTTAAATAGAAGTTCAATGCGTCATACCAGAGCCAGCACCAGCAATTCCAACCTTAACCATGATGAATTGGCGTTCACGTTATCACTAAGGACCCAATTGCGGATGCGTAGAAGCTTTCTGAAAATTTGAGAATGAGTTGAGGAATCTCGGATTAAGGAATAGTGCTTGGTTATTTCGCCCATAGTTATATAGTAATTCTTTATTGGGAACTCATCGTAATCATCACATCTTTTGCTTACAGATCCCTATGAACCTTACAATCACGTTGAACTCCCAGATGTCGCGCGGGCGGACTTTGCTAGTGAATGCACTTAGTCAATCAGTGGGGTTGGCTGGGGACTCATACCTGCACAACCGGCTGTGCGTTTAGTATCATGTGTTTTTCGCACAACCGGTTATGCAGATAAGGCCACGTAAGCTTCTTTGGTCAAATCTGCACAACTAGGGGACCATCTGTCAGACATTACGTGTATTCGGTTCATTGATGTGAATTGGTGTATTCATGTTGTGTTCTGTTGAAATCTACCCCTTAGAGGTT